GAATGAAATACAATTGCCATGAATTAGCTACATTTAACCTTTATATAGGGAGATAACCTTTTGTGTCCACGTGGTCTTGCACGGACAGACTGAGGGTGTTTGAAGTCGTGGCCAAATGGGCACCCCTGGCAGTGCAAACTGCTCTTGGACACATCAGGAGAGCCCTGAACTGACACATCCTTGGGAGAGACTGGCTTGGGCAGGACAGGAACAGCATCACACAGCCCTGGGACTGCCCAAGCACTGCTGGCACAGTCACCTGCCAAAGGCAGGAGGGTCTGCCTGTGGTGAGAACACAGGGCACGGCCATCCTGCTCCCCTGCAAGCTGGCCCTGCCTGCCAGGAGCACGGCTGGATCCTCACAGAGCCCACAGCCCCCGTCTGGGCACCTTGTACAGGCAGAGGAGAAGAAATAGGAGCCTTCAGCGAGTGATTCATCGTGCTCTAAAATCTGAGCCTTGTGGGAATGCTTCAAAACATACAAGTTCATTTCCTCCCAAAATGCAGCAAAACTGGATGTGTTTTTTTCCTTAACTGCTTCTGTCCTCGCAGGTCTCTCAAAAAAAGTTTAAGAAAAAAAAAAAGAAAAAAAATTGGATTAGATACTTTTGATGTAAACCTGCTTTGGCAGGTGTGAGGTGGGAAGGGAGAGGGGATTAACAGGATGGCAGAAAGATCCACTGATGACTGTATCTGAAAAGGGCTTTTTCCAGCCCAGGATTACAGGTTCAGTGAAGAGATCTCCTTGCTGCTTTTAGCTGACACAAGTATTTGCATAGCCAGGCTAAAATACAGTAGGAAAATTGTTTTTGTCTGGTATTGCTTCCACTTCTTCCTCAGTTATTGGAGGTGAGGCAGCAAGGAGATAGCAGCATGTGAAAGTCAGCAGGTAGGATGCAGGGGATGGGACAGTACTGAGAGGGGAAGGGCACCAGTATCCAGAAGTTGGACATCTGCAGTGTCAACTCATCCCCAGAACAAAACACCACTGGAGTACAGCCAGGTGGTCCAGCTTGTCCAGGAGCTCCCAGCAGGAGCCTGAGTTGCAAATTTAAATACTACAAATTTCTTATAGCCCAAACTATTTACAGAGAAAAAGGCTATCGACTCACATTTGGAAAAATGTCCTCTTGTCTGCACAACTCTACATTTTTCAATCTAAATTTAGAGGTTTGGCTACTGTGATTTTTCAGGGTATGAGATGTGGGTGGGTATTTTTGTACAAGATAATGTATATCCAAAATGATACAGACTGTTGCTAGAGCCAGAAAGATGTTACAATGTCAGAATTGTGAGGAGATCAAAATATGCCTTTTAAAGACTATGAAATAGAGAACAACAACACCATCTAAGTGACCTGACCGAGGTTAGAGCATGAGTCACTCATGGAGGCAGGCGGGGAACTTGCTTCTGTGATCCAAGTCAGAAGCACTTGGAACTCACTCACTGTAAAAAACCTCAGCAAGGAGGGTCCTGGGGGTTAAAAAAAACAGAATTGAATGATTTACCATGGTTTATGGGTACAAACAGTGGCTTAAATGGACACCCTGATGTCTCTGAAGCACTTGTTAGCAAGGGAATGCATTTACATTCAGCAAACAGAACTACAGAAGCATTGGACTTTTTAAATGCAATTAATGGATTATTTTTCCTTCTATAACTTTGTAAGATCTCCCATCCTGCTCTCCAACCATAGCAAATGTTTCTCTGGCAGTGGATACATTGCTGTGCTCTACAAACAAACTTTGGCTGGTCTTATTATAAATTCCAAGTATTAGGGGACATACAGTCAGTTGGTGTTGTATTGTAACATCTCAATGGAAATCAATGGAACTACAAAACTACTCAATAGTCAAGGAATTACCTGAAGATATTAAAATCATCAGCCTGACTCTTGATATCATGGAATTAAATGAAAGAGAGAATAAGCATTGCTGAGGTCTTGTTATAAAAGAATATCCCGCCATCACCTTACACAAGTGACATGAATGCAGACTGAAGAACCAAAAAACACTGCAGAAAAAGAAAAGTCTTGAAATTAATTTTAAACATTCTGATTCTTTCAGCCTGACTTCATGCTTTTAGAGAGTTCTGTGATGACAATACAAACAGTAGCTCATTTCTCAATCAAATTCCACCCACATCAGTGTGTCACACTTGTGCCTGATGAGCAGGAAAGGGGTAGTGGTGGGGTGCTACATACCCAGGGGCATGTAGATACACAGAATTACAGATACTGCAAGTCTCTTTTCAAGCTTTTTAGTGCCTGCTCCAGTCCTAGATACAGGGCTGGGCTGGCAGCAAAGCAGATTAGCAATATTGTTCATAACAATACCAGAACCTTCTGAAATTTCAGAGGGGAAATGTTTATAACTCGCATATTTAATTACACTTTCTGATATGTCTGAAATAAATCCAGTGACTGTGATGATTTCTGTCTTGACAGTGGGCAATTTGAGGCTGACTGACCTGATGTGCCCCCAGCCACCTTCTGTGACTGCTGGGGCTGAGCTCTGAGCCCCCCTCCCCTCACACAGTCACACAATGCTCTTTTCCGGGCCATAATTGCCACATCAGTAACGATGAGAAGATTTTATTTGACTGAAAGGCTGCTCTAAGTGCCCAGCCTGCAGGTTACATCTCACCTGCAAGAACTCGGGGGCTGTACAGACATTCGATTTCATGATTCATTTAAGGCGATACGAAATGTTGCTTTGAAGCTCACCCCCCCTCCCCGTTCCCTCTGCACATCCAGCGGCTGCACAGCGAGGGGAATTATGCTCAGCATGTCAGTGGACAGAGATGGTTTGTAAAAGCTGATAAGCCTCGTTAGGGTTTGCAACTTTGTATGAACTTCGGTGATAAATACTGCGTTCGTGAAATGCCAAATACTGCTGGAATGTTGGCGTGAGCACGACAGAGATTACAGCTAATGTGGGAGCGTGTAGGTACTCTGTGCAGGAAATTACAGGCACGGTGTGCACTGGGCTATGAGGCAGGGGTATTTCCTACGGCACAGTACACAGGAATAGATAGAATACATAGATCTAACAGCTTGGAGTGAAATTAATGAGGTGGGGATGATATGACAAGTATCCTGAATGGATACGGAAGGAAGAGACAATATTTGTCAATATTTGTTCATGGCTCTTACTCATGAGTTACCTGCTCTGCTGAGGTACATACCCTGCTAATGGCTAATGGCTAAAGAGACTCCTTTTACCTTCATTTAAACAAAGAAATTACAACTCCCATCAAGAGCAAACTTTCAAATTGTCTTCCTTTCTTTTATTTTCCTACACGATCAAAAGGAATTTCAGAATGATGTCCTGCACTCAGATGAAAGCAAAGTTTGATGTTCTGAAGTGCTAAACTTTTCCGCTTTGACCTGCACGATTGAGATGAAGGAGAAATTTGTCTGTAGTAATTAACATGACAAATAACTGTGAATGGGAACTTGCTGTTCTGAATGACAGAGTTGTCTTCTGCTTCAGAGTGAGAAACCCAGGGCCAGGATCCTGGGGATCTGTCCCTTGCTTCCATCTGACTCATAACAGGTTTGAAAATCTGTCTCTCACCTGATGGAGGCAAGAATGGAGGGTTCTGTCCTGCAGGAGAACAGCACCTTCAGATGCATCCTGCTACATGCTGCAAGATATTTCGGGGATGAGGGAAGAAGAGCTGATTGCCCGGAAAAAGAATAATCACCAGTGATTAAAGGTATTTCATGAGCCCTGCCTTTCATGCTGACAGTTCTGCTATAATCATTCCCAGCATACTGCTCTGCTTCTGTGCGTATTCATCTGTTGCCAATTGCCTTGTAGTTACTTTGTGAGCATGTTAGTTGGGGACTCTTCTCTTGTTCTTTGTTTCCACAGCCCTCAAACACAAGGGATCCTATGAGCAGGATCCTGGATGCTTTGAGGCACCTAATAAATAATTGTTAGCATTCCAATACCTGAACTATGCTTTGCAGTATCAGGAAGCCTGTACAGCAAGGAGATAACTGATATTAGCTAATTGTTATTGAGTGGCTTTCAGGCAATAGATCACGGAGCTTTTTCTTTGTTTTCAAGTGGGCTGCTTTTTGCCTATTTTTTTTAATTATTATATGAAAATGCAATGCATTTTATCATTAATTTGATAGTGGATGCCTCCAGCAGAGAATCCTAAAACTTTCCAAGCCACAGAAAGTGATTGAATTGGGTTAAGCTGTATGATCAGTGTGGAGGGGGACATGTCATGCTGTCTATGCTACACACACTCTGCACAAGGCATTTGTATCTTCAGACATATCATTTTGGCTTTGCTCATCAGATCAGCATTATCTACAGGAGACACTCCTCAGAAATGAAGCGATCCTCACCTCATTAATTTCTCCTTTCTGCTGGCTCGTGCCTGGTGGGAAGAGAGCAGCTCCTGAAACCCTGCCCCGAGCTGCTGGTAGCAGCAGCGGCTGTAGAGCCATGTGGGAGGAGAGCAGAATCATCCTCACCCTTCCCAATTAAAACTTCATCACCAGCACCAAGATAACAATGCAACAGAAAAACTCTGAATGCTGTTCTCACTGGTAACCGACATGACCTCCCAGCTCAAAAAACCCAGTGCCCTCTTCTTCTCCTGCTATTCCCCCGCAGCCTCACCCACGGCGCCCATCAAACAATCAGTCACAGACCCCATCTGTCAACACAGGTCTGCAGTTCATGGAATCTGCCCGACCGTGGTGTTCTATTACTGAGACTCTCTGTAAACAGAGGTGCTTTGAATGACTTGTCGTCTCTTACAAATTGCACGGGGAGAATGAAGGCTACAGGACTGAGTGACATAATTGTAAGACAAAAATTACAAAGGCTCTTCTTTCACTTACCCTGGCAGTCTTAGAACTGAGCTAGACTTTCACACGCAGTGCCAGGGCCGATCAAACTGCCTTGAAAAGTTTTTTCTTGTTTTCTGGTGGGGTTTTTTTTGGCTTTTTGTTTGTTTTTTGAGTTTTTTTCCTAGGAATACTTGATGCTAAGTAAATTTGCATCAGGGTTGCTTTGTACATCACAGTCCTGTGCATTGTGATGGCCAAGTGTTCCCCCTCCAATGGCAGTTACTGACCGTGATGCTTAGCATGGAGCTTGACAAAATACAAACCCTTAACATTATATCCTGCACTTTGTTTGTATTTTGTATTTACATCTTCTCACTTACATGTCTTCCACATCTTTTTTCATCTCATCCTTTAAACAAAATTCACAGTACCTTGAGGCTCATGTCTGAAGATCCTGGGGAAACCTCTGCTCTCATATTCAGCCAAACCAGCCACATCCTATAGAAGAAGCTCTTCTGTATCCCAGTCCTGTCCCTGGGAAGCAAAGGTCATGGTTAGACTAAGTGTCCAGATGTCAGAACAAAGGGACCACATTTGTTTAATGGATTATGGAGTCCAGAGAGATATTTGGGATCTAGTGATACTTCCAGTGGGTCATGTGTTCCATGTAGTTATCATGTTTTCCACCTAAACAACATAGAGTCTAGTTAGATGCCATTGTGATGGGTGGCTGATAGCTGTGTGTAATAAATAATTTTTAAAAAGCAGAAATCAGTTACATTACCAAAAAATGAGTCTGGTTTCTAGGATGCTTTTTGTGTCCCTATGTGTAATGCTGTAAAAACTTTTTTTGCTCACATGAAAAAGATTTGAGACTTCTGTAAAGTAGAAATCAGTACCACCAAAGGCTTAATTATATAATGTAACATTCTCGAAGCCCTCACATTAGCTCACTGATGCTTAGTGAAAAAAGCATTACCTAGCAACAGTCACTTACAAATCACAGGAAAAGTAATGGAGATTATATGCTATACCACTCCATAGAGTCAAAATTGTTAGCAGGATGTGTTTGCCCTTTCATTTCATGTGGAAAAATCCATTGTTTATAGGCGTGAGGGTGTAAGGGATGCACTTCAGGAGGAAAACAGGCCTGTTTATCCATCATTAAAAAGTAATCTTTAAATGAAGCCCAAAGATGGAGCGAGACACATTAATGTGGCCAGAGAAAGCAAACTACAACACAGACACTAGAAAAATTATCTCTAGTTTTCTTTCTCTTCAAAGAAATTCCTCTTGATATGTCATTCACTCTTGAGTGCTTAATTAAAACAATTAACCCATTTTTAAGTGCTGGCAGGCTTGAGTTCCCCAGCACCAGTGTCCTGCATCTGACTCAGACAAGTTACTCACATCAAGGTGTTCAGCAGTTCCTCAGCCACCGAGATTTGGTGGGCATTGCCTCTGTATTTTGTTTCCATCCCACTTCTGTGCACCACAGTGGCAAAAACTCTTAGAAACTGCAGGAGAAATACATTTGTATTTAAGAGACAGAGTTATTAGAACCAGCTCCATATTGCAAATGCAGCTAGCAAAGAGAGAGATGGGTTTTATTCCGAATTATGCTTTGTTAACAAGTTGTTAACTAAGTTCTCACTCCAGAATATTTAGAGCCAGCTAAATAATATGTGTCAAATCATTGATCTGACAAGTTTCACAACTTTTTTTTTCCACTTTAAATTTCAAATATCTATTCAAAAAATAGCATGTTCAGTTTTTTCGCTCAGTTTTAATTACTGGCGACAGCAGGGGAGGGAGAAAGAACAAAGCTGAATGCACAGATCCCAGAGGGAGTTTGCCATCTCTGACCATTAGGGAAAAAGAGAAAAAACAGGATCTTTTCACTTGGAAACTGAACCCACTTAGTGTGGAGGTCCTGGGAAGAGAGGAAACACAGAGTCCTCCCAGTGGAAGAATCCTCCTTTGCTGTCACTTTGCTGATCATTCCTGTAGGCGGCTGCTATGGCACAAAAGCTGGTACAACAGCACTGTTGGGCTGAGGCAGGAGTTCTGCAAGGGTGCAATGTTTGTTGAGTTGGGAATTATACAGCTGGCACTGGGGACAAAGGGAAAAGTTACAGCACAGAGCTCTGCTCATTATACAGAAAACTGTTCAGAGACAGGTGGCTTCAAAGGATTGTGATTCTGAGGGATGAAACTTTGCCTTTTCCCTGTGTGTGTGCAGGCACACACGTCGATGAAGATTTGTCTCAAAAAGAAATGAAAGTGTTTCTGGTTTCCCTGGGCAGTGCTCAGGCAGTCAGCTGTGGCACAGAGCAGGCATGTGTGGAGAGAGACCCCCATCTCCCCTCATCTCACTCTCATTCCAGGATTTTGATGATGAAGTCAAAAGCAATGTCCGTGAGACTGCACTCAAGATTATGCTTTGGGACTCCTCTCATATCACAGAGGGAGTAGCAGGATTTCTATCTGGACCTGGTAAATAAAGATGCATTTTCTAAGTGAAATACCTTAATCTATCTAGCCTAATCCAACTGAAAGCCCATCAGTAGGCACAGACCATTAGCAGATCCAGCTGGAGAGAAGTTTAGTCAAGGCCATAACTTGCATATCAGTAAAGACTTGTGTTCTGTGACAATCTTCTTTTCCACTTTTGGAGATCTCAGACCAAACAGGGCTGCTGTAGATATGAGGCTGCTCAGTGCATGCTCAAGTAGCACAACTGGATTCCTACCAGCTCCAGTAATTATCAGGTATACACGAAAGAGCCAATCAAGCACCCAAAAGGACAGGCTGCCCTCTGCTCCCCCCGGGTGCAGCTGGCTCCTTATTTCAAGCACAATCTTAAATTACAAGGAAAAAGGATTTGCTGCAGAAGCAATGTTGTTTGGTATCAAAAAAGATTCCTCCTTCCTTCTGCCACCTCCCCCCATCTGCTTTTCATGTTTTATACAAAACTTGCTGCTCTGAACACTCCTGGATTTTCTCCCCTTCTAATAATAAAGAAGCGAATCTGATGTCTCCCACTGATGGCTTTCTAACCTTCAAAAGCATGTGTTTATCATGAGTTTCAGCTATCCAAAATAGTTTTGACCTGGGGTTACCATGCAGGCTCAGCCTGCTTCGAAGCGGGTTAAATGGATGATAAGCAAACATTTCATTACAGACCCTTAGTTGTTGTAGGGATGTGCAAATCCCTGAGAAAGATTTTCAGCATATCCTCCTGAGCAGTGTGGGGCTTTGGACCTGGGAGGTTCACTCAATCAGAGCCCTGCTGTCACTTTGCAAATATCTCCGCTGACTGTGCCCTGCATCATCACTTTGTGAGGCCCTGGGTGAGCCACGGGGCTGGGGAGAGATTCCTCCCACCTGATGCACTGTGAGGGATGAGATTTTTAAGTCTTAATTGAAAACACTTTTTTGCTATCCTGCCCCTCCTCTGGTTTGTGTCTGAGCAGAGGAGGGTGGAGAGGTGCTGATGGAGAGTTGGGTGGCCCTGGGGGAGATCAATCCTCCTCCCAGCCCTTGCCTGCTGCCTCATGTCTCAGAGCCACATGCATCCAGCAGTTCCAAACCTCCTGCCAAAACTATTTTGAGCAGCACTATTGCTGGGTGACCTGTGAGAAGTGAAAACGGTCCAGTGTGGACATCACACAGCCTCACCCACCAAAAGGCAAACCAGCACTGCTCAGAAAGCAATGCTTATTCTGCATCTTCCTCAGAATCAAAGAGATGGCAGCTCTAGTGGCTAAGCATACCCCAGAAAGGCACATCTACAAAGCACCAGGTACTTTGCCTCTCTCAAATTTAATCCACAAAACAGCAGCCCTTTATGAGTCACCACTTGCTTTAATCCTGAGCAGGACTCACAGTCCCCGCTGTCCAGCCAAGGGCCATGCCCCATTTTCTTTATTCCTGTCTTTCTTCTACCCACATCCAGCTAAAATGTTCTCAGTGCAAGAGTCTGGGCTGGTTAAGGACAGACAAAGAAAGGACAGACAAAGCCTGGGAGAGAATTCACGGTGTGCACCCAAAGTGGGCACATCTCCTGTCTCTGGTTCCAGCAGCACAGGGGATGCAGGAGTGCAGGTTCAGGGCACTGTGTGCTTGCTCCATGTGCTCCAAGTTCATTATCCAGCAAGTGGATTGTTGTTCTCAGTTAAGTTTCTGATAAATGCGTGAAAAATATTGCACTGTTGGGGATGGAGCTTCCCAAATCTCTAATTCCAGCCTACCTGCACCAAGGAAATCCGTACCTCTGCTCTGAAACTGCATGAGTGACATGCTGACATAGCTTAGCTAAGTTTCATCTGTCCTCAGCTGGTCTCCAGAATTAGTTTCCTTCAGTTCCAATCATTCTGGTGTTGGGCTGTACACATCAGTGTTCAGTACAGGCCCTTTATTTCTATGGTATTGCTGGGATTTGCATGGATTTACCTATTTGCTAAAAGAAAATGTGCAGGAATACGTCTAATTATGCTTTGCTAAGTATGAAATGTCCTTCTATTTAGCAGATGCTTGGGCCCTACTTTGACCTAACACTGAGTGTTTCAAGTAAACTGCCAGCAGCCCCGTCAAACTGTTGTGGGTAATTTGGAGTATGAAATGTGTTAAATTATTCAAAGAGCTGAATAAGCATAAACAGGCAGTACCACAGGAGAGATATGCATACCCAGCGATGCTGGTGTGACATTTAATACATCATATTAGCACTCCTGTTAGTACAAAGAGCTGGATGCCTAGCACAGCAGCTTGCAAATTCACAGGCAGAGCACAGCCTAGCTGCATTTTGTCCCCCATATAGCCTTCCTTCAATGGTTTTCCTTTGAAAAGCAAAATACTGCTCGTCTATAACCAAACGTGAAAGTTGGGAAGCAAAATTTGATTCCTTCCTGAAATGCAAAGTGCATGAGGTCCATCTAACCCACCTCTGCTTCATGCTGGTGTCAATCATGCTGCTGAGAGCAACTGTCTGATTTAGAACAGTGGTGCAAAAACAATCAGAATTGGGTTTAAAATTCCCTGATGCTGGAAAGTGGACTCCAAGACAGACAGACCCTGCTTCGTAATAGAGCTGAAGCAGCAGAGAACACACGCAGGATCACAACATATGTCTAGCTCAGAAATACATATAAAACTCCATGTCCTAGTAAAAGCTGACACTAATTCAACACAAAACCCTGCCTTTTACCTACTGTGGAAGCAGTCCATTATTTCTTATCCTTCAAAACAAAGAGTGTTTTCAGGTTATGGAGTATCTCTAAGTTCTCAAGAGATTACACTTCAGGGGATGAATGAGATGCTTCTGTAGTCAGGATTTCGTGATGGTGAGCAGCAAGGGGGAGGTGATTCTACTTTGAAAGCTTTTTCCAATTCTCAGAAAAGAAAAAAAAATTCAACCTGTGCTGTGGAGAAGTTTGGGCCTGGCAACCCAATCTTTACTGCTTGGTTTGTCAATGAAAATAAAAATAAAACTTAAAAAAATCCATATAGCCAACTCGTAACAAATAAATGGAATGATCTCTCCTGAGAGCAGATGGAAGCCCCAGTGATGGAGGTAAAGTAGCCTGAACAAAGCACTCATGGATGTGAAAATACTGTCAGCAGCATGCCTGGATCAGCAAGGGATGGACTAGCTGACCTTAAAGGCTTTTCCTTTTCTTTTCATTTTCCCCCTTTTTCTTTTTTTGTTTTCCTCCCTACCATTTTAAGTAAGGGGCTGTGGGGCAGTAGAATTACCTTGTGCTGGGGGGAATTCTGATTTTAAGTGGTTCTGGAGATAATTTGCTGACTAGCAAAGTGCCACTAGTTTTGTCCCATTTGATTTATGCTAAAATTTGATTTTAACGTTCTCTTAGAAGGTGAGAAGAGACATTGGTACATTTTTTTTCGCACTGCTTTGGGACAAATACGTTGCAGGGTGTCTTTTGGCTCTCCTCTTCCTTGCTTCCAAACTCCATTTAGTAATAACATGGTATTGATGAGTCTAACTTCATGAAAAATATTTACTATCTTTGCTATTATGAGTGCTGAGTGATACTAAAAGGAGCATAGCTCAGTTTTCAGATGGTGAAGGGGAGCTTGTAATATAGACACTTGGAAAAACTCCATTTGAATTTATAATCTGAGCCAATTTTCGTTCCTTTTGGAGTGAACCACAGAAAAAATATTAAATGTCAACTTGCCAAAATCATGACTTCTGCCTATAAACACAATGGAGACGGACAAACATTGTGTGGGGAAATGTCAATTCAAATTCAAATCTTAATATAATTTTGGGGTTTGCAAATACTTTGAGACATAAAAGTTGCCTGTTTCCCTAGGAAAATGTATCAATTATTTAGGAGTGGTTGTGAGAAGTCAGCTTAAATTCCTAACAAGACTATCAGTTCAAGAAATGTGAATCTAAACATCAAGTTCACTGAGTCGGGCAACAAAACCAAACCAATCTCTGGATCTAAACTGAACCAATGTCCAGAACCACCTACCGAAATTATGTGAGAACCATTTGAAATTATGACTTGATACTAAGAGTTTTTTTGCCTTCTCATAAATATCTCAAAAGCAAAAAGGGTGGGGGAAGAAAATCTGTATTCTCCATTTCCCCTGTTGCTTACACCAGTCTTTCTGATTTAGGGAGGATCACTTCTCTGAGCCAGCTCCTCTTCCTCATAAGGCAGCTGGGAAGAGGGAAACGTAGGCTGAGTCTATATTTGTATATCTGTTTGGATTAGAAATGTGCTTTTATCTCCCAGTCACCCCCACAGTCTGCACTGTGGTGCATGTTACACAAGGTCAGATAAAAATAACAAAACTTGAGCCGAAACTGTTGAAGGAAATTCATTTTATGGGACCATAGTGGAGGAAGAAAAAAATTTATCCCAAAAATATATATAGCACAGAAATCAGGCCCACAGCATCAGCTATGGCCCTCCTTGGAGTAGCTTGTAAGGTGATGGATGATTTATTGATATCAATGCCATCACACGGGAGGCAAAACCATCTGGTGAAAACTGGGAAAGGCAGCGAGACCATCGAGGGCTAGTTGACACAGCTTGGGAGCCAAAGTGAACTCCAAGGTTCATCCACTTCCCAGCACCTCAGCAAAAAAAAATAAATCCTATTAACTTCCATCCCAATTGAATTCTTGTTCAACACTGCCACGGTAGCCAGCTCTTATTAGAGAGAGGGCACGTCAAGAGCCTGCGCTTAATCCCTGCTCCCAGATCTGCATGGCACCAACATCCTCTGGTAGTGAGAGACTCAACAGGCTGGTGAGATCCTAAAAACTGGTACAAAGAGGCTGGAGAACACTCTTCTGACTCTAGCTGCCTCTACACAGGAGCTGAGTCCCTTTTCCTTTCTGACTTCACGTACAACAAATCCACTGCATAAAGCTCTAGGTATTTATTAAGAAATAAGTAAGTGCAGATTAGTTCCTTCTAAACATTTTAAGCTACCTACTGAACTAGATTTGGTAATAAAAGCTAAAGCCAAAAAACTTGAAAAACTTCATTAACAGAGAAAAAAATAACTTCAATGGTCATTGCTATGGTTTAAATTAGAAGAATTGGGAGGGTGAGGAGAGATTACTTTGAAGTGCCTTCATCCTCCAAGGAATATAACTATTGATGCAGTGTTTTACTGATGTTCATTCTCACAGCCCAACTATTTTGTGAGTCACCTGGAACTGATTTCAAATTTTAAATATTGCAGTCTAGAAATCTTATTTCATCTAACCTGCAGCTTTCTTAGTTCTTCTAAATGACTTCTACAACTCTGCAGGGCTTTGTTTTGGCTTGGGTTTTTTCTTAATTTTTGGTGTATGTGTGTGTTATTTTCAAAAAAGTTCTTCCTGCAAAGTACCCCCTCAAAGCAAAAGTCCCCACCCTTTTTAATTTTTTTCTCTTAGATATCAAATTAGTTGTGTCATTCTTGTGCATGCTGCATGAAATATGATCAAAGAGAAGTCACACAGCTAAAAAAAGTTAACTTTCTCTTTTCTGCCTGCTTTACTTTTGTAGTAGATTTTGCAGTTTCTCTGCAATAGCCAAGCTGCACTTACTGTTTTCTTTACTTTCCAATTGCTGATGTCAGTGATGCCTTCATACACACTTCATCTAGCCTAGAAGAGTGCAAGAAGAGCCAAAGCCCAAAAAAAAAAATACTGAAAGCTTTCATAACAGCCTTTATCCATCAAGTTTTAAAGAGGGCTCATTTTGCACTTTCTCTGTATTTAATGAAAACAATTTCAAAGTTGAATTGTTCTCAAGCACTTTCAGTTTTGTTTTCTTACTCTCATTCTCCTTTCTTCTTCCTCATCACTGAATGAACTCAATAGCAGTAGAAAGCCAAAATACTCAATCATTGTGCCCTTTCAATGGGCCATAATGATACTAAGGCTGCATAGAGTATTAAGCAATACAGTGTGAATAAACCTCTCTTTTTATATAATAATCTGGATTTTACAGGTCCTTCCTGGGAAAACCATACACTCATCTGTGCAAGTTTTCCACAGGAGCATACAGAGCTGTTACCATTTGCCAGAACTTTCTCATTTTAGTCCTAGAACTGTCATTGTCAAACCAATCCTGTGTTTCTAAATGACAGAGAGGTAGCAAGAATCCATACTGAAACCTCTCCAGGGCCGTTAGAAGGTTTGTGTGTTTGTAACAGCACATCTATCTAATCTGCAATGGTCTGCTCACTTAAGAACACTAACTGGTAGAGATAAGCACTGGTTTCCAGTTTCTTACCTGCAGGGCAGTGGTTGGGTGGTTTATAGGCAAGATGACCTCAGGTTGTCGCCAACTTTGTCCTGTTATTCTGGGTGCTCACATAAATGTCTGAAGTTGTACATGTCATATTAGCAGCCACCTGAAGGCTGGATGTGCTATCCATTCTCCTCCTGCACAGGAATGGGGGAGAAAGCAGTGGGAACACATCCAGTGCTCTGAGGAAGTGCTAAAAGGGAAAGAGGAGAACAAAGCGAGCAACACAGCGACTTCATTAATAGATTTTCATGCACTACATCAGTTTGTCCTCAAGAATCAAGAATAAAAAAATCTGAGTCCATGAGAATCATGCAGAAAGAGTGCAGATCAACTGAAGGGATTCTTGATAATTTTAAAGATATTTTGTATGGTCTATTAAGATTATTTAAGAGTTTTCACCAAAGCAAATGAACTGCCTTACCTGCTGTGTGATGTCTCCAGATTCTTCACTATTTCTCTGTCCATCCATCCCATCTGTCAAGGCAGTGTGGCTGTGTGAGATCACTTCTACATCCAATGGAAAGTTGTCGAATACAGAAAAAAAATACAAAATCAGGGTAAGCTGAGACCCCTGAATCCAGCAGCTGGAGGATTTTGTGTTGCTTTCAAGCCCAGGGCAGAGTTATATACTTTTTTCCTGCTATAATCTCGCCAGGGTCACATCAGGCTCTGATGGCACTTCAGCAGCATCACACCACAAATGGGTGACCCTGAGGTGATACAGTCTCACACCTGGGTGCAAGGAAAAGAGTAGATCTGACTTTAGGGTTTTGCAGCTTTGACACTTAGATCAACCCCCACTCCATTAATAAATGAAAGTTTACCTACAAGAAGACACACCCCACACTTGGTATACTGGGTGTCTGCTTTGCTAATCAAAATTAAAAAGTACATGTGATTAATTTGGAAAAGCAGCATCAGGCAGGTGACCACGGCATCTGCTTTACATATTTCCCATTCCTTTTCTATCACATAATGAAGATTCTCTGTACGAATAAAGCAAGGTATTATAAATTCAATATCCAAATTTTCCACCATGGCAGCAATTGTTTTAAGCCTGCTTCTTGTGCCTTTTATCTCTCTTACAAATCTTGAAGGGAATCGGATTCATCATTACACAAATGGCCTTTATTTCTGGCTGTTAAAAACCTGATGATAAGCAACATTTCCAAGGAAGAAAAAGCAGTCAATTTCCGAAGCATGTGCAGAGTTAATGTCTGCAGTAATTGCGACTAAGTACGGTAGAGCAGAGATGCTCTGCCAGCTGGAGCCAGGGATTAAAAAGGAAACATCTGTGCTGAGATTATAGGAACAGAGGAAGCTGTGGGAAGGAAGGAAACAAGAATGCCCATGTAGGTCCACCTACCTCATTTGAACTTCTCCTTTTCCCCATGGTTTTGTTTTCCTCTCACTAAATTCTATGTATTTACCACCATGAGCGCAAAGAAAAGCCTGTCTGATTTCTCTGCTGTTTGACCTTTCCTTTAGACCAATCTCATGGCCATCCATCTTACCAGAATGAGTCTTAAGAGCAGGAGTTGGGCACAGCCTTAGAACTGAGCATTTTCTAAAGTGATTTGCTGAGCAAGGACACCTTTGAGCATTATGACTTGAGATAAAATTTTGGGCCTCAACCAACAAACTACTTACAAAGGAACTAACTTTAGGCAGACAAGAAACTCCCTTAGTCTCAGTGGGACTATGCACAAACTTAAATTTACATGAGTTTAATTATTCAGCTAGACTAGGAGCTAAACAAGCAGGAAGACTACAGTCCAATAGCAAATTATTGCCCATTATATCAGAACCAAAATGCATCACTGTAGATATTGAATACTGACTGTATGCTTAATTCTGCATCCAATAAAATATGCTGAATGTAATGAAAGTTGTGTTCTTTTCATGTATCAGAATTTTAAAACCTGTCCTTCCTTTAGGATTTTTTTTCCCCTCCTTCTTACTTAAATAGTGAATGAAAGCTACAGGAGATGCATTCCAATAAAATAATAAAAAACTCTGGTGGCTAGGTAATATGTTAAAGAATATGAGAGACATACTTAAAGCAATTTTTAAAACACAGCAAGGAGAAATGTCTATACATGCACAAGCACACATTTAGCTAGTCAGCTTAAATTCGAATGAAATATTTTATGTTGCTTTTATCCCTCCTAGTACTGAAGATTTACAAGTTTGCAGCAGATTTGCAGAAATTGCCCTTTGTGCAGGAAGGTCAAAAAGAGATTAGAGAACTCTTCACATACACAATATTTTGTTTTATTTTTATTTCTACTCCAATTGCCTTTGAACTCATGTTCCTCTGGTGAGGTGAAAACTCAGGAGTGAAGGAATTGAAGGTGGGGAGAAGGAGGGAGGAGAGGAGGAAGAAAAGCTAGAAGGGAATTACTCCTTTCAAAAATAAATCAATCAATAGAAAAAGCACAGAAGTATTACTTAAAAAAAAAAAAAAATTCCCAGAGCCAGCACACACACTCCATTTCTACTAATTGGATTGTGATGTGTTTGCCTTTAATATGTGCAGCCAGCCCCTATGCCCTGCCTTGTGCACATGTCATGTCCTTTCAGCATCAGCAGCCGCTGGCCTGATTCTCAGTCCTTGATAACATGTTCCCAAGGAGTATCGTGTAACGAGGGGGAACGCACAGGGAGAGGTGGGGGAGAGCAGCCCAGGCCTGCACAAGCCATTGGTGGCCTTGTGGAAATCCTACAGACAATTCTCTCCTAATCGCTGACCCTTCCCTTTGGTTCCAATTCTTTGTTTCTTGATATGTCCGGGAAAGGCCACATCAAACAAAAGGATGTGTTCGAGCAGGGTTTTCCCTTAATCTGCTCTTTCTCCCTTACCCTGCTTTCAGCAGATTTTCAATATCATTAGTTTCTCTGAGTATTTGCATTTTGTTGTTCTTGTTTAGAAAGGGAGGAGCTGTCAGAGACCACAAAAACTGTATTGGGTTCAAACCACAAAAGTCTGAAATGCTGCAATAGCATTGATGAAATCCTAAAAGACAGTGGAAGAGCATGATGGGCAAGGAGAGGACACTTGCTTGCTCCATCGTCTCTCAGACAAAGTTCCCTCTTGCTACTACACCTTTAGACACAATATTTTATCTCTTTACTTTAAGCAATTTGCTGAAATAACTTGCAAAGGTCCGCTTTGCCTACCTGGTGGGACAACACATCTTCCATAGAGGAGCCCCCTGTGTTACATGGGTGCCAGAAAAATCAGAAGAAATTTATGAGCTGCACTGCCATAATATTTTCCTTTCTTTTCACTCACTGACTCTGTAAAAGGCATTATAGAAAACTTTAGATGCAAGCATTTTGCCAGTTCCTTGAGAAGAGAAGCAGGTCAGCCATTTAACTCTACTGCTCTTTTAGTGAGATTGCCCAGACAGAACATTCAAAATAAAGGATTTTGAAAATAATTCGCTTCCACCATCTCTAAAAGTGAAATACACTTGAATAACATTGACCTTCTTTTAAAGTGTGTAGATGCTTCTGCACAGGTTAAATGTCAGATGAAAATCTACATGGACTTTTTGAGTGGCATGTGAGCAGAAATCAGACAAGACCCAGACACCACAAAACAGACTTTGCACTTATTCTGGGACCACATCTGAGTGCCTGATCATTTTGCCTGATTTTTTCCATTTGATTTATAAAAAGAGAGCAGTGAAGTTGGGCTGGGATACATCAGACTGCAAATTACTCCAGACTTTGAGGTCTCACTGGTTGACTCTCCAGGGCTTATCTGAACTAAGTGCACATTGGGTTTGCTCAATGGAACCTTCTCCTAAATGTAGTTTCTCACCAGGTTCCTGATGTGTCCATACTGGTGTGAATAAGAGATACCTTCTGGTTCAGTGGAGATACAAGTGTGCCTGCAAAGTTACTCAGTCAACATCTCCCATGTTCACTTTCTGCTTTAAAGTGAGCTAGAGGACTTTTTGGTCTCATTATTTCCTGAAATCTGAGATCCTGATCTCTAGGCAAAGCATCTGAGTGATGCTTTGCCTAGAGATCAGCCCTTTAATATTAACTGAAAAACAGTTAATAAAAGCAAACTTTCATCCAGTGGGGACCAAAAGAGAAATCAGATTCATAAATCCAAAGTAGAAAAGTGAATATACTGCCTTCCTTATTTTAAGTCACAACAAATACCAAACTCTGTATATTCCATCTCCTTAAAAAAGGCTTTGTGGCACTATTCCTTGTCGCACAGGTGATGGTGTGCAGTGGGATAACACAGAGATCAGCCTGCCTTTCCTGTTTTGGATCCTCAGCTATCCCAGATCACCAGCTAGGTGACAGGTACCTGTCCTTAGCATCTCTCACTGTGTTATCTGTTAAAAACAAAAGCCCAGCAGCAGCAGCAGCAGCAGCAGCAGCAGCAGCAGCAGCAGCTTTAAAAATTAGTGAAAAGATTATAGTTGTTCCTATTAAACCAGATCCAGAATTTTAGCCTGTAGCTTTTACCACTTTACACAGCTGAGGCATTTATTTCCTTACTGCTCTGACCATCTCTTTCGGCTAAAGCAGGTAATCCAAAGCCTTCAACTAATGACAAACACTACAGAGAATAAAAGGGTGCCAGCACAGACCATTTCAAAGAAAACCAATGCAAGCTTAAAATGTTGGGATATGGCATATGGGAAGTCAGCATTTACTCACTTTCCTTAAAGAAATACTAATAACAATAAAGACCCCAAACCATCAAGAGCTCCAGAAAAAAAAACCACCAAAAAACAAACCTATATCCTTAAAACAGTACTAATCCTGGCTCATGCAGTTTAGTTCCCCCCTTTATCTGTGTCTGATTAGTAGATGTGCACATCCTGAACTCTGAAACCTCTCCTGCACCCTAATTGTGTGTCACTTCCTGCTCCATCCCAGTTCTGCTGCCCTGGGTTTCAGTGGCACTGGCACAAGCTGCTGGCAATCCCTGTACCTGCAAGCTGAGCCTGTGCTGAGCCATGCAACAGTAAGTTGTGCAGCTTACCAGCACGTTACTGCAAGCAAAACCTTGTAATGCAGCAGCTTGGCAAGGGAATAGTTTCCCTTTTATCTCTTATTAAAGGGGATCAGGTGTTTGCCCATGAGAGCTGCACTCTAAGCGACATGAATTTTTTTTTTTTTTTTCCCCTGGAATATGCCCATAAACTAGATATGTGTCTGTTTAAATAAGCATAAAATTATGAGTATCCTGCAGCAAAAATGAGACAGCAGCGTTCTGGAGTAATGTGGATAAAAAAGATCATTATTTTCCCCTTCCATGACTTTGGGGGTGAACTTTGAGCCTATGGAGAATTTTCAAGGACACAGAAGAAGGGTCCCTTCAGCTGACAAAGCCTTTTTAGAATAAGCTTTTCAATGTATTTGATTGAGAAGCAGCAGTATAAAAGCTGTGATCTGTATTTATCTGCACAGATAATCCTCAGTATGCTGGCAGCTTGCTGTGTTGAGGAGCAGCGTCTCCCTCAGGTTTGCCCTAGACCTTCCA